CTTAAACAGGAATTTAATTATAATAATGAATATGTATGATAAATATGAATTGCGAATATAAAAATGATTAGATAATAAAAATGCGTTTTATAATAAAGATTATTGTTAAATAGACATTAAAAAATCTTAGAGTAATTTTAAAAATTTTGTATAACGCGTATGGTGGAGTGTGCGTAAAATAACCTTGAAAAATAAGTATTGACCAATGTACGGTTCTAAATAATTACACAGAGCACAAAAATTGAATTCCGTGATGCAGCGCGGAAATTTCGTGCTCTGTAATGAAATAAAGGCTCGGTAAAACATAAAAACAAAAGGTAATATCTTTAATATGAAATGCATGGCTTGTATAGATTTACCATTTTGATTCTTAAGACGTTAAAGAGTGTGAAACGTGTAATTTATTATGTAAATAGATATAATTTGTCGCTGTGTCAAAACGTCCACGTTACATCTGATAGTAAATCAGTTCTTCATGTTGTTGTGTGTTTTATTTATATTCCCGCAAACGAATAAACTACTTAAATTAAGTATACTCTTACAACTCATTTATATACTTTCTCCTAGTTATCGCGGTTTAAAAATGCTTGCAGCCTCTTGATTTCCTGAACTGCAAGGTTTTCTTTTCGGTTTATTGTACAAACGAAATGTTGTCAATGCTTATCAATGAGATTCCTTTCTAGCATCTTTACTTACATTTACCTATAAATAGTAAGAAATTATTAATTTTGCTGGTTATTATTGGAACGAAGTTCTTTATCGGACGGTACGGGTTTGGCGGATGGGAGTTAGGCGACAAAAAGTGTAGGATTTTTTCGTCATTACTCCTTGCGTCATGGTGTAGACGGCCTTGGTGGCGAAATAAGGAAGTGAGATGGAATAATATCCATCTCCTTCGCACTTTTTCTTATCTTGCTATAAAAGAACTATTATTTTATTTCAAATGACGCTTTATTTCAATAGACTTTAGTAATTCATTTATTTGTATTTGTTAATCAATAATATATTACCTACGTTTATGAATAATAATATACTACGCAAGGAACTTCGATCCAACCGAGTGTTCCACGACACTCACGCATTTTTATTTTCTTTTCTTTAATATTTGAAATATGGTGTGTACAAATAGTCGTTTTCCATAACAGAATGTGTCACACCATATCATGTCGCTGTTTTGTTCTATAGAACCTAATGGGTAAGTGCCCACCGCCGGTGCATCTCAAAGAAGTAGACTTGCTATTGAAGGTCCCTAGTCATGTCAGTCCAATAAAACTGCTAGAGATAATAAACACTATGTTTGTTGATGGCAAAAAATTATAATAAAAATTCCTTCGTTGATTCGAGCCGTATCGTAAGTGTCGAAACCTTCGATAAATGATGATAATGGATGAATATAGAATGATGTATAACTATCGCATGTATATCAGATTTTAAATATCCAGAATGACGGCGAGAAGCAGCGCCAAAGGTATGATGATCAACTTCTGGTGCTGCGATCGTCAATTGCGCCTACCATGATTAGTGATAAAACCTCCCTATGTAATATAAGCGGCTTATATCCAACAGAAGACTACTACGGGCTGATAAAGAATTAAGAATGATCTTAAGTACAGGGTATTTTTGAAACGCTCCCGAAAACGAAGACAGACGGCAGTACCAACTATACCTTTGATGATAGGTGAAATATAAAATCGATTCTGATGAAAAAAAATCATCTTTTCACAACGTTTTATTAGATTTATTCATGCTCCATCATGTTAGTACAGCTAAATGAAACGATAATTTCATAAAAAAAATCATGAAAATACTGAAACATAAAACCAGCAGTGAAATTACTGAATTGCAATCAGCTGACTAGAGGTCAATGTGCGTGCGAACGCCGAAAAAAGATCGCTGGCCTTGAACCTGGGCAGTGATCGATTTATGAGTGACTGGTACGAAGGGAGCGCGATGAGGGAAAAATCCGCCAGTATTACTGTGCCCGCATGCTATTGGTTCCCGCGCTTTGTTCGCTCCCAAAATACACAGCTTACTTTGCGACTAGCGACGATGGTTTTAAAAAGTAAAGAAAGAAAAATTATTTATATCTATTGTTTTATGACTGAACTAGTGAACAAAAAGGTGAATATGATAGGAGAAGGTGAATGGGAAAAATTGTGCAGTAAAGTTAAAAGTGTTAAAAGTGTACCGAAAAAATTACCATGTGATCGACCTGATGACGGAAGCTCAAGCGAAGATGAAATTGATGATGAAGTAACATCCAGTAACACAAACACACCATCGACATCTGGCTTCCATGTGACCCAAGACGACATAATGGACGGCGTGTCACCCTTAGCTTAAGTTTTCTTGTTACAAACTACTTTATATTTTACGAATACGATAGATATACCAAATAATGCTCAAGTAAACATTATCCATTTTTAATTCCAACCTCTTCCAAAGTTCTAAGTAGCTAGTAAAACACCTATTATGATTCTACAATAAAACAATTAATTACTGTAATATTATAAAACAATAGCCCAATACCATGTAGTACTTTAGAACGCGACTGTACCCACACTCCCTCCACTGCCGACTTGTATCTAGCTCGGTGCGAAACAATGCCTAACCTGGCCGGCTGGTGTCGCCTCACGCTGTGATGCAGTAGGTTTCAGTTTTGGCGGGATTCGTTATTAATTTTAGTTTTTGAGACAGTTCCGTGTTGATTTTGTACACGCGTGCGCGAGCGATAGTTTAATCGTTTTGTTTAGTAAATTCTTTTATTCGTTATATGTTATTGTTATTAGTTTTGATTACGTGTTGGTATTATTCTTGTTGTTACGTCTTTTGTTTCTTTTTGTTTTAATAATGCCTAACGCGTACGTTTATAGTGCTCGTGAATACGGCAACATGTTAGATATCCGAACCTAGGTACACGAAGTATCGCTAAATTGTTAAGACGTCGGGATGGAACAAATGTGTCATACTGTGCTGTGCATAAAGTGTTGAAGCGTAACCAAATGCGCACATACAAATTGCACAAGGTGCAAGCTTTAGTTCCCGGCGATCACGACCGCCGACGAATTTTCTGCCGTTGGTTATTAGACCAGCAACAACGTGTGCCTGGTTCCATTGAGCACATTATCTGAACGGATGAGTCGACATTTACCAGAAACCGAACCGAAGTGGAACCGAAGAAATACACACAAACACAGTGTATTCAGAGGGTAACCCGCACGCTTTTCGACAAACCGGGCAACCAACCCGATGGTCGGTTAACGCATGGGCAGGTTTATTTAAGGATCGCATACTGGGACCAGTGTTTCTGCCACAGCGACTTAACGGACAGCGACACTTAAACTTTATAAATGAACTTTTGGTTGACATTTTAGACGACGTATCGTTGGCTGAATATCGCCGCACATGGTTTCAGCATGATGGTCGTCGCAACAGGGTCGTAGCAACCCCACATGTCGTGAGGTTCGTCCGTGAGCGCCTCACCGAATTATTTGATGTTCGCTGGATTTGGCGGACTAGGACCACCCGCTTGGCTACCTCGCTCACCAGATCTGACCCCGTTAGACTTCTTTCTGTGGGGTATGTGAAAGAAAGGATTTTTAATCGTGAATGTGATAGTGCTGACGAAATGCGCTAAAGGATCGTGGATGTTTTCGACAACTACGTACGGACTGTGTCGAAGTCCACACGATGATGCCCCGCCTGCATGAGGAGACGCAACACCGAGCCCAAATCTGCCTTGAAATGAATGGAGCACAATTTGAGCCGCATCTCATAAGACCACGGAGGATTTAGAGCAGTAAGCTGTTTCATAACTATTTTTTTTAAATAACTTAGTACTGAACTATTCTGAATAGGTACATAACTGAATACATAAGAATAATAAACATACCTACACGATGAATAAAAACGCATGACTCTAACCTTGGTTACATATAATTTAAGTATTTTTTCATTAGCAGGGAATCGAACCAGTTATTTGGGTTATTTAACCTGTAAATTCGGATTAAAGTGGCTACGTGGAGACAAGCACACTGGCAAAATAGTAGGTTAAGTAGATAAGTTAGGTATTTAGACAAGTGTTGTAAATTATAAGGTATTGTGGTATGGCTCGTTAGTTGCGGGCCGCGCGAATTCGCGTTCGCGTTTACATTGACCTCTAGTCCGCTGATATCAATTCAGTAATTCCACTGCTGGTTTTATGTTTCAGTATTTACATGATTTTTTTATGAAATTATCGTTTCATTTACATGTACTAACATGATAGAGAATGAATAAAGCCATATAAAACGTTGTGAAAAGATGATTTTTCTTTCATCAGGATCGATTTTATATTCCACCCATCATCAAAGGTATAGTTGATTAATTATTATATTGTGGTAACGGGAGTGGCCGCAAATATTTTTTATCATTTCCAATTAGTTGTATAGGAATTAATACGCAATTTCCATATCAAATTAGTTATTGATGTTTATTACGAAACCAAATGCTTGACTTGGTGGACTTAAGGCGTTTACCATTTTCTTTTCTGATAATCCAATACTACAGACACGAAAATATCAACCCATGCGTCAGGAATATTGGTAAAACTTTATTGTCGTGTAATTGTTGCTCCTTTAATATTATCGTGTAATTGATTTAATAGTGTAAAAGTGTTTTGATTTTATATATTAAATGTCTGCACAAGTTAACGATTAGTGCAAACGATAAAATAAGTACTCCGATAATAATTTAAACCTCAAGCTATTTTGTCTGCTTAGATACCTTGAGATACTATCGTCATCGATTGTTAAATTTTTACCTTAATCTCCCAAAACCTCGACAATATGGGGCATAATCGTCGAATTAGGCTGTATGGCCATATATCCATTTGCTTTTAAATAATTTTAGTTACAATTTGACATTGACAAAAGTCAGCTGACGTCAAAATAAAAATATATTGTTTACCTAGCTTTTGGTTTAAATTTTTTGTACAATAGATCATTATACAATCGAAAACTATGTCGACAACTGCTCACGTAGTAGATGGAGAAGCATCAGAATCGGACTCGGAAATAGAAATGGGTAAATCACCAGTAAGTAAACTGCTAATATTTACCGGACACTGGTACCTCTCCTATAGCTAATAAAGTTTGATTATTATTAAATACTTTTGGTTAAAGTATTACAAACATTAGCATTGAAAGAATAAAATTGCTATTCCCTTTTGCTAAACTCGTAAATATGCGATTATTAGTTTTGAGATGTCTTTGAATTACAGTTTGTTTTGTTGCCACTTTTAATGTTGTAAACTTTAGTTTAGATGTTTGGTAGTTTCTAAGATATGTTATAGATATTTGAAAACTATTTTTGATATCAATATGAATAATGAACAACAGTAATATTTACCGTTACTGTATAAAGATGATAACACTCATACCTCATATATAATAAACTTTTTTTATAGTATAAGGGTGACAAGCAAGCACCTGATGGTAAGTGGATGCTGTGGCACATAGACATTTACATCTATCTTCATTTGTGAATCAAAAAGCAGGTGCGTTGTCAGCTGTGAAGACTAAGATGGAATGCCTCTTTTCCAGTAGAAAGGGTCTCTGAATCTCTACATTCACCCTATGAAACAGAGCAGCATTAAGCTGCTATTTTACGCTGGTATTCTGTGAGAGTGTGGTCCTTCCCCGGTCGAGCTGACCCATTCGTGATACAACTATACTGTTAATAAAGCTGCAGCATGGCTCTACCACATATACACCTTATTGAATTGTAAGCTTTTTACTCATATATTCCATAAGGTACAATCATAAATTAGGAGAAAATAAGTCTTTATTTTTAAAATAAAATACTAGTAATGCTATTGAACATTTCTAATATTCCCTTTAACCACTTCTGGTAAGCTTAAAATGCTTGTGTTAGGAGTGGTTTACGAAGTAGTCGAATGGCGGATTCGAACCCACTACTGTCGTGACTAGGATTAAGAAAGGAATGCTTCGGTGGTTTGGTCATGTAGAAAGAATGAGTGATAAAGCAAATTTATGTTGCAGAGGTAAATGGCAAAGTCTGGAAGGGACATCCTAGGCAAAAGTTTATTGACCAAATTGGTGATATATTGATAATGGGCCAAATTAAGAGTACCCTTAACTGACGAGCGTGTATGTGTAGATATATGGATGTGGAGGAGGCGAGAGAGGTGTGTCAGGATTGTGCCAAATGAAAGTCCACAGCCTCTGCCTACCCCTCTGGGTGAAAGGCCTGAGTGTTTATGTATGTATATACCTGCGCTTAAGTTTACTTATGAGTTTCCTGTCGCTTCTTCTTACAAAATCTCCAGCAGTAAGGACTTGTAGAAGCAATGGTGTAGCTTTTGACTTTCATAGTGCTTTGTAAATTTTAAATAAAAAACATATATGTGACTTTTGACTCGGCACAGTTTGGCGACCGCAGTTTTTTATAATTTTAAGTTGTTATGGTATGGTTGTTATGCCAGGATGGTGCTGCTTTCAATCCTGTTTCAATTATCCTGTCGCCTCTTCTGACACACAGGATGATGTGATGTAGTGGATTTCCTTTTGCTGCCACTACACGGGGTTTTATTTATGTCCTGTTTTCCCGAATACTATGAAATTCAAAAGTCCGTGATAGAAGGCTGTTTGATCTATTATGGCTTGCAAGGTTACTGAACATTTCATACTAACTATATTTATTTTCAGGATTCCAACTTGTCGGCCTCAAAAGCTTTTATTATATCTGGAGAGGCACCGGAATCAGATGATGGTAAGTGAAAATTCACTGTTATAAATATATGATAATTTAAAATTAAAAATTTTGTACAACCGAATTCAATATCATTTATTAGTTATAACTCAAATACTATTGGTCTGACCTTGATCAAATTTATATGAGACCGCATGAGAAGCACTAGCTTTCCAATAATAAAAGAATCATCGAAATCGGTTTACAAAGAAAAAAGTTATGAGGTAGCACACATAAAAAAAGAACATCGAATTGAGTACTTCCTCCTTTTTGAAGTCGGTAGAAAAACGAGAACCGTGGTAGCTTAAGGGCTAAGCCTTTTTTATAAATGCGAGCAACCCGGGTTCGATCCCGGCCAACACTAATTAATACAATCAAATAGAATAAATTTTATTCAATTTAGATTACAAGTAATTCTTAATGATAATTTTTTTACTATTAATTACCACTGGTCTACAAAAAACCTCTATCCAGGGAACAACCAGCAAAAAAACCCTGCTTGACTTTTGGAACAAAGTTCCTTATCGCACGGTACGAATTTGACAGATGGGGCTAGGTGAGAAAAAGTGTAAGATTTTTCTGTTATGACCCCATTTCTATTGTGCAAGCGAGATGGAATAAGATCCACCTCCCTTGCACTTTTTCTTATCTTGCCATGAAAGATATATTATTTTAAATGACGCTCATTTTAATAGAATAGAGTAATTCATATATTTGTATTTGTTAATCAATAATATAATACGTTTATCATTTTTTATTATCAGAAAAAATATGTTACAGTATTACTATGCGGCACAGCGAAAAACCACGCAGGTTTGTGTTGCGTGCCGTTCCGTCTACATTTACAAAATGGGGATAACAGTTAATATTTGTTAAGGAAATAACATTTTAATTTATACTTTATGTAAACTTCATTAAGTTCACTTTTAAATTTACTATCTAGACCATTTATTAACCGAGGTATTACGTATACGCTGGTGCGCTCACGGTTTTATTTTTGGATGGTATTATTATAAATTTTTTTTTTAGTTATTTTGCGGGTCTGAATTTTGCTTAAGACTGCATGTTGTATAGTTAAATTAAAGAATTGTTCTTTTAACATTTGATATTGGACTTTATCATGGATAATGAGTATCTTGCAGTGTTTAAATATTTTTTTTTCATTTGTTTTTGCCTGAAGTTTAATTTTTATAGGTACAATCGCTTTTAAAATCCTAAGCTATAGTTGACAAATGTACTGTAGGTGTGATTTGTCTATTCGTCCGTAGCTACTTAATCCATAAGTTATGATTGAATCAACAAGAGCGTTATAAAGCATAATTTTGACTCGAAAGTTTAATCGTTTTCTAATTATAAACATATTCGCTAGAAATGCTCTCTAAGCTTATCACAAACATGCTTTATATGTTCGTGCCAATAGAACTTATGGTCTACTATTAAGCTTAAATATTTATGCGATGTAACTAATTCAATTTTAGAACACTTACAATTAAATTGAGGTTTGTGAAGGCAATTATGATTATGCGCAATGATATTATGTTTGAATATGTTGTTGAATACTGTTGCGCGCCACTATTAATGTCTTGTACATGGCAACACTAGTTACCACTAGCGCCCTCTAGTATCGGGTAGCAGAACTAGGAGAGTCGAGATCCTTCTAGAAATTTCGGGACCGATATGTACTCGAACATTCTAGATGTTTCTACAATAGAAGGTTCTGGAAACTATCCGAGGCCCTATATAAGGCCGGTATAGACCACGACCGAGTCGGTATTGAATTGGCAATATATGCGAATACTTCGAAGTGATATAACTGCGAACTAAAGTGATCAGTACAATTGTGTTTTATCATTAGTGTTTCTAAGTTGTAATTAGTGTTCTGTAATTAAAGTGTCAATTTTGGTAATTCAATCGGCAGTTTTTAATTGTCTCGAACCCGAAGCTTAACGATTGGTGTCAGAAGTGGAATCAAATTATGCCGATTTTACCAAAGGACGATATGGAGGGTATCCGTACCCGAAGTCAACGCCAGCTGGAAACGGACCAGAGACGATTTGGTAATGCAACGCCGCAAACGTCGGGGGGCCAGCTGCTGACCACGGAGGCCAGCTTGTCAGCAGTTCCTGCATCTGCAGCACCTGACTTAGATTATCTGATGATGATGCTGCAGGAGCAGGCTCGCCGACAAGAGGAACAGGCCCGCCGACAAGAGGAACAGGCTCGTCGGTTGGAAGAGCAGCTGCAGCGCGGACAGGAGGAACAGGCCCGTTGTTTGGAAGAGCAGCTCAAACGTGATAAGGAAGAGCAGATGCTCCCCATGAAAGTCCTTCACGCTACCTTAGGGAAAGAGATAAGGGAGGTAAAGGATAGGGTTGCTCAATATGACAACCGCCTATCGGAAGCTGAAACCCGAATCGACCAAGTGTACAATCGGGTTGACAACGTGATGGCTGACGTGAAGAAAACGCTGGAAGACCTCAAACTTGGGGATGGAGTTACAGCTCCCATGGTAGCTACAACACCTTTGCTACGCGGGTTCAAAGTGCCGCCGTTCGACGGGACTTCTTCCTGGTCGGCCTACAAAATCCAATTTGAGGCTGTCATGAAGGCGGATGGCTGGAATAAAAGTCAGGCCATGACTGCTCTCACCCTAGGCTTGCGCGTCCAGGCCTTAACTGTTCTGGAAGCTCTCGGTAAGGAAGTGACTTACGAGCAGCTCCTTGAGGCGTTGGAGGCGAGATATGGCGACCCTCACCTGGAACACGTCTTTCGTGCGCAGCCCAAAGATCGCGTGCAACGCAGTAACGAAAACCTGCAGCACTGGGCCCTTGAGCTGAAGAAGCTGGTTCGAAAAGGATACCAGTCTGTACCTGCGCTCATTTTAGGGAACCTGGTGCAGACATTCATCGCCGGCATCCGCGACCTTGAAGTCAGAGCTGCTGTGAGGCTCGGGCACCACGAGACGCTTAAGGACGCCTTGACCCATGCACTGGAGCTGGAAGCCGTGCGTCAGGTTCATCGTTCCCATCGCATCAGGGAGGTTGCAGCAGCTACAGTTCGTGACTGCAAAAAAGGATACAGCCCTAGGTGCTACGGCTGTGGGGAAAGGGTCCATCTTCAATCCAGCTGCCCTAAGCGAACTGTAGAAAGGGAAGCTGATCGATCTCGAGAGGGTAGTGCGGTTAGCCACATGCAGCAGCAGGGAAACGAGTAAAAGCCAGGACTGCGGGGCGGGTGCTGGCTGATGTTAAAAGAGCCCCAAGGATTTCGATCTCACAAACCCATGATGAGAACAGCCTAAACATCAAGGGCGAGTTCAACGGAACGCCGTGTAAACTGCCCATAGACACTGGAGCCTCTCGCACGGTTGTCAGTTCCCAATTTATAAGTCAGTTGCTTGGGGACTCCGCATACAACCGAGAACGCATTAATTTGGTGACAGCCACCGGTCAGCGCATACCCGTCCGTGGAGAGAAGGAGATGGAGTTGAAGCTAGGCAACATGATCTACCTGCATAATTTCATCGTGGCTGATATAATGGATGACTGCCTCCTGGGCCTAGCTTTATGAGGAAGAATTGTTGTGAGATCGACGTTAAGCAAGGTGTTTTGAAATGTGGACAAGAGGAACTTTTCGTGGAAGGAGCGTTACCAGGGAATGTGTACAGTCTTAAGAAGATTGTTCTTCCGCTGAGATCAGAAACGATTGTGCCGGCTAGTCTTCCTCGGAATCCTGGGCAAGCTCATCGTTATGTACTCGTGGAAAGGGTAGACAATGACCATCCATGGAAAGTGGCTCGAACCTTGGTCAGAACCACCGACATCTCAGGAGTACGTGTGTTGAACCTTTGTGATCAGGAACAGATTATAGAAAAAAGCATACTGGTTGGTACTAGTGAGGAAGTGGATTGGTTGTGTCGGTGCCAATATCTATCAACTGGGACCCCCAGTAAGGATGCAAAAACGAGAATGACTACACTTTTAGAAGACTGTCGCAGTGTTCTCTCCCTGAATGAAATGGTCAAGGCGAAGAAGTTGTTACTCAAGTACGCCGATATTTTTTCGTCATACGATGCTGACATAGGAAAGACTGGGTTAGTTCAATACAAAACAAACGTAGGAGAAGAATTGCCTATTCTTCAGCGGCCAAGAAGATTGCCGTGAAAAGGATTGAGGGAATGGTGAAGGATGGTGTTATTGAACCTTCATCTAGTCCATGGTGTTCACCTGTGGTCCTGGTAATGAAGAAGGACGGCGGCATGCGGTTTTGTGTTGACTACCGCCGTCTGAATGACGTTACGAAGAAGGACAGCTATCCCTTGCCAAGAATTGATGAAACGCTGTACATGCTTACAGGTAGGTGTAAAGTGGTTTAGTACACTGGACCTGAAAAGTGGCTACTGGCAGGTTGAAATTGACTCTAAGGACAAAGAGAAAACTGCATTCTCCACAGGAAAGGGTCTGTGGCAATTTAAAGTCATGCCGTTTGGATTGTGCAATGCTCCAGCAACGTTTGAATTTTGAAAGGTTGATGGAGCTTGTACTTACCGGGCTAATTGGCGATGATGACATCATCATCGTAGACCGTACGTTTGAGGAACACCTTCAAAACCTGGAACGCGTGCTCATGAAGATCCAGAGAGCCAACCTCAAGTTGAGTCCGACGAAATGATCACTATTTAAACGGCATGTTAGATTTTTGGGGTATGTAGTGTCGGAAGAATCCAGGGAATTTGCCGCTGTCAAGGATTGGCCGGTTCCAAAAGACAAGACCCAGGTTTGAGCATTTTTGGGTTTGAGCTCCTATTATCGGCGATTTGTGAAAAAAATTGCAGATATAGCCAAACCTCTGCACAAGCTAACCGAGGAGAAGCGACATTTCTGCTGGAATGAAAGTTGCGATATCGCATTCCAGGAGCTCAAGGAACGTCTGTGCAAAACACCTATTTTGGGGTACCCTGATGCGGGCAAAGAATTTATAGTTGACACAGACGCAAGTGATATAGGACATGGCGGTGTGTTTTATCAACGGAATGGTGATCAAGAGGATGTTTTTTTTTATAGGAGAGGGGGCAAACTAGCATGCGGCTCACCTGATGGTAAGTGACTACCGCCGCCCATGAACAACCGCAACACCAGGGGAATTGCAGATGCGTTGCCGGCCTTTTAAAAAGGAGTAAGCTCTTTTCTTGAAGGTCCCTAAGTCGTATCGGTCCGGAAAAATCGCTGATGGTAATCGATTCCACAAGGAAGTCGTGCGAGGAAGAAAACATCTTCTAAATCGCACAGTGGTGGACCGCCAATCATCCAGATGGTGTAGATGGTATCGGGAGTTCTGCCGCGATGTGCGTTCATGAAATTTGGCGGCTGGGATTAATCCGAACAATTCCTCAGAGCACTCCCCATGGTAGATGCGAAAGAAAATGCAAAGAGATGCAACATCTCTTCGCAGTGCCAATGAATCGAGCCGATCGGAAAGGGCTCGGTCGTCGACGATTCGAGCCGCTCTGCGCTGGATGTGGTCAAGTGGAAGGAGCTGGTACTGGGGAGCCCCTGCCCAGAGATGGGAACAGTATTCCATGTGAGGCCGAACCTGCGCCTTGTAAAGTTGCAGGCGGTGTGCCGGCATGAAATACTGTCCCGCTCTGCTGAACACGCCAAGCTTTTTAGAGGCCAATTTGGCCTTCTCTTCCAAGTGACCACGAAACTGCACGATAGCGTACTTCAGCAAGTCGTTGTCAAAGCCGGAAAGGAACTATTGTGTCACAAGACCGGAAATGCTTGCTGTGGTAAAGCCCTTGCAGCTATCTTCTGGGGCGGAAATTTCACTTACAAACTGATCGTGCTGCACTGAAATGGCTATTGCAGTTCTAAAATCCGGAAAATAAAGTTGCGAGATGGATTGAACTACTGCAGGAATACGACTTTGTAAACGAACATCGGAGCAGAAAATCTCATGGCAATGCAGATGCATTGTCAAGAAGACCTTGCCCTGAAGATTGAAAGCATTGTACTAGGCAAGAGGGTAAGGAAGTGATATCTGTGAGGACGCTCAGAACAGACCAGCTCAGCAATGAGTGGAAGGACAGCCTACAACATGCACAGCATGAAGATTCGGACATCAAGCCGATTCTGCAATGGATGAAGGCCAGTGCTGCTAAGCCTGAGTGGTGCGACGTCTCAGCGATGAGTTCGACCACGAAAAGCTATTGGGCCCAATGGAACAGCTTGCTGATTCAGGATGAAGTCCTGTTCCGTAAATGGGAAAATGGTCGGGGAGACATTTGTCATTTGCAAATGGTTGTCCATGATGCTAAATTACCGGATTTTCTACAGCTGTACCATAATGGTTGTTCAGGAGGCCACCTGGGAGTTAAACGAACTCTACTGAAGATCCGAGAACGGTTTTACTGGGTCAACTGTCGTGTGGATGTCGAGGACTGGTGCCGCAAATGTACAAGTTGCGCGGCTGTAAAGGGACCTCAAACTCGTAGTAGAGGCGCATAGAAATTGTACAATGTTAGTGCTGTAGCCATTGACGTTGCGGGGTTGTTTCTGGAAAGTGAAAGTGGTAACAAGTATTTGATGGTTGTGATGGATTACTTCACTAAGTGACCAGAAGTCTTCGTCATTCCAAATCAAGAAGCTTCAACAGTTGCAGATAAACTAGTTCATGAAGTCTTCTGTTGTTTTGGAGTACCTTTAGAGATTCACAGCGATCAAAGGAATTTAGAATCTCAAATATTCCAGGAAACTTGCCGAGTTATGGGTACTCAGAAAACACGAACAACTTCTTACCACCCACAATCTGATGGAATGGTAGAAAGATTTAATCAGACATTGGAGAGGTACCTAGCAAAAGTTGTGGAAAAACGGCAACTAGACTGGGACAGGCACATACAACCGTTTTTGTTGTCATATCGAAGCGCTGTTCACGAAGGTACATCAGTGACGCCAGCTTTCGCAAACTTTGGGACAGAATTACGGCTGTCTGCAGACCTGATCACAGAAATACCACTTGATGCCCCACGCAGTATAACCGATTATGCAAATGACCCTTTTTACTGGAAAAGATGCATTCCATCTTAGTCCTCAGGGGTTACAACGCATCTGCAGTTTGATTCTTTATTGAGGATAGATGTAGATGTATATGGGTCACAGCATCCACTTACCAACAGGTGGACTGTGTGCTCGTTGGTCGCCATTATCCTATAAAAAAGATACCAAAGTAGAATAGCAGCTTAATGCTGCTGTATTTCGTATGGTGAGTGTAGAGAACCGGAGACCCTTCTTACTTAAAACGAGGCATTCCATCTTAGTCCTCAGGGGTGACAACGCATCTATATTTTGATTGTTAATCGAGAATAGATGTAGACGTCGATGGGATACCATTAGGTGGACTGTGTGCTCGTTTTCACTCGACTGCCCCAGAAGAGAGGTAATATTTTTCGAGTGTATGTATGTCTATTTCTTTGGCACGCTCTGTAGCCCAAACGGTTTGATGGATTTTAACATACGAAGTGCCGTTAGCTTCATCATAATTGTGGTAGTAACAAAGGAAATATAATATTACTTTACTGCATGGCATACAAAAAAAAGAGGGGAATTTTTATTTACGAAGTCGGGTTTTTCAAAATACTGTTTTATCTATTTTGCTTGTTCATACTTATTCTAAAAAAAAAAACAGTGTGTGTCGTGAAGACACATAGTAGAAGTGAAACTTTTTTATTACAGGAAAACATTTCAATTATTCATCAGTGACCTTTGAATAGCGTAGATTGTGTATATCATTAATTTATTTACATAAAATTATATACTAATTTGATACAGTGGTCTAAGGTCACAGTGCACGATATTTAGAAATTATCCGTTTAGTTTGTTAATTAGGTAATTATCTATTATTAATGTAATTTTATTTTAATTAAACCAAAGTTTTATATTATGTCAATAAAATTTTATTTAAATGAAAATTTACAAATTGTTATTTTAAATAAGCGCTGCTCTACCTTGTTGGGCTTCAAATTACTTCCCTTGTTCGTTTTTTTAATAGCGCCATCTACTTTCTATAGAGGTAAAGTCATTAAATAATATAAAACTTTGGTTTAATTAAAATAAAATTACATAAATAATAATTAGTGCGTTTGTGTTATGTACGTGTTCGATAAAATGACTTTACCTATAGAATGTAATAGATGGCGCTATTACTCAAATGCGATCACGCTTTCTAAAATAAATACGTGTACCTTGGGTAACAACTGTCTTAAATAAAATTAATATAAGATTAGTATTACTATATTATACTTTATGGTATGTCGACCTGAATGACCCGGTACGTAGTGTTTACCCCCACAACACTTCGTCACACAAAAAGGTTGTTTCAAATTTCAAAGCCCACCCGTAAAACGTTTCACTTCAAAAAAAAATTAGGTGTAAACTATTTCAGAATCAAAGCTGCCATCACCAACAAGTGTGAACGAGTCGGATGCTCCTCTTCGTGTGGCAATGTCACCGCAGAGCACGCAGACTAAGTTGTACAATTCTATACTCCATCAGAAGTTATGTAAGTAACCTTCCAGATAGTTTATTATAGCGAATGAAAGCTCCAGAAGTTCTCTCTTTTTTTGGTGATGAATTTGTAAGATTGCGTTTTTGCCAATATCAAGTAATCATAATGTAAAAGAAAAGAAATTATCTTTCTTCACAATTTGTTGATGTGTCACATTGCAAAGTTATTGGGACATTTCGACGGCAGCTTGAGCCAGCAGACAGTTGATGGCGATAGTATCTTAAGGCGCCCGAACAGATGTATTATCTTGAGGTTCACATCACCATCAGAGCACTCGTTTCTTCGTTTCCACTAGTAGTTCACATAATTTAAAAATAAAAATTTTGTACAAACGCCTTCAATATAAATTATTAAGAATAACTCAAAAACTATTGGTCAGACCTTGATCAAATTTATATGGGACCACATGTGAAGCACCAGCTTTCAAACAAAAAGAGAATCATCGAAATCGGTTCACCACCAGAAAAGAAGTTATGAGGTAACACACATTAAAAAAACATACAGTCGAATTGAGTACCGTCTCCTTTTTGAAGTCAATAGAAAATAACACCACGTTTACAAAACAAAATCCACTTCAAACCATTATACATACATCCATTCATTACACCCTCTTAAAGTTAACTGCTAAACAAAGGGCTCCCCCATAGATTGCCTCATAGGGGGATATTTGTCATAGTTGTAATGTTACTGTTGATTTGAAAATTTCACCTCTCAGTGGGTCATGTGCTCCTGGTAGATTATCTTCTATACATCCATACATTACAGCCTATAAAAAAGTCCACTGCTGAACATAGGCTTCCCCCATAGATTGCCTCATAGGGGGATATTTGCCATAGTTGTAATGTTACTGTTGATTTGAAAAGTTCACCTCTCAGTGGGTCATGTGCTCCTGGTAGATTATCTTCTATACATCCATCCATTACAGCCTATAAAAGTCCACTGCTGAACATAGGACTCCCCCATAGATTGCCTCATAGGGGGGATATTTACCATAGTTGTAATGTTACTCTTGATTTGAAAATTTCACCTGTAAGTGGGTCATGTGCTCCTGGTAGATTATCTTCTATACATCCATCCATTACAGCCTATAAAAGTCCACTGCTGAACATAGGCCTCCCTTAGGCCACGCTTGGCAAGTGGGTTGGCTACCGCAGTTTTTTTATTATTTAGGGTTGTTATCAGAAACTTTTTACGTGGTTAGAGACATGCTGCAGCTATATTTATTGTACAGTTGTGTTGACTCGACTGGAGAAGGACCACGCTATCACAGACTACCAGCGAAAAAATAGCTGCTTAATGCTACTGTGTTTCGTTCGTATGGTGGGTGTAGAGAATTGGTGACCCATTTTACTGGAAAAGAGACATACCATCTTAGGCCTCACGACTGCCAACGCATCTGCAATTTGATTCGCAAACGAGGATAGATGTAGATATCTACGGGCCACAGCAACCACTTACCATCAGGTGGACTGTGTGCTCGTTTGTCAACCTTATCTAAAAAAAAAACTTGCTGCTGTCCATCTGTTTCATTTTTCTTCTGTCGCCTTACTACACAGTCGGGACGGTATGGGGTAGTGGATATAATACACCGCCACTGTACATTACATAAACAATAATAATATACAGGAGCAGCCATCCGCCGGCAGTCTAGTTCCCGACAAATTTTTTTTTTTAGAAGTTATTACTTGCACAACACCGGAACTAGAGTTGCACCGTTGTATTGTAAGTTGTAATATCGATATTTGAAAAAATGCGATTGCCAATCCGCTTGCCAAGCGTGGCAATCTATGGGGAGGCCTATGTTCAGCAGTGGACTTTTATAGGCTGTTATGGATGGACGCATATAAGATAATCTACCAGGAGCACATGACCCACTTACAGGTGAAATTTTCAAATCAAGAGTAACATTACAACTATGGTAAATATCCCCCCTATGAGGCAATCTATGGGGGAGTCCTATGTTCAGCAATGGACTTTTATAGACTGTTATGGATGGATGCATAGAAGATAATCTACCAGGAGCACATGACCCACTGAGAGGTGAAATTTTCAAATCAACAGTAACATTACAACTATGGTAAATATCCCCACTATGAGGCAGTCTATGGGGGAGACCTATGTTCAGCAGTGGACTTTAATAGGTTGTAATGGATGAATGCATAGAAGATAATCTACCAGGAGCACATGACCCCACTGAGAGGTGAAATTTTCAAACAGAAACATTACACCTATAGTAAATATTCCCCCTATGAGGCAATCTATGGGGGAGGCCTTTGTTCAGCCGTTAACTTAGGATGTAACGGTAACGCTATCGTTATTTGCATCGGTATTACAAAATTGTATTTAACATCTACCTATACACATGATGGTGAACATGCCATCTGTTTGATTATCTTACGCTGTCACCTCAGGATCGTTTCATTCAATCAATTATTCATTATAGACTGTTGAATGTTCACTGCTTAACATGGGTCCCTTAGATCACCTCATAGGTTACCATACTTGCCACGCATGCTTGGTGGGTTACCAGCCGCAGTTCTTATTAATTTCAGTTGTTATGCCGCGTAATGAGATTCCACTGTTATATACCATCTCGTAGGATTTTTTGAATATAGAATAAGGGTGACAAACGAGTACACAATCCACATGATGGTAAGTGGATGCTACGACATCTACATTTATCCCCAATTAAGAATCAAAATATAAATGCGTTTTCACCCCTGAGGACTGAGATGGAATGCATCGTTTCCAGTAAAAAGGGTCTCCGTTTCTCTACACTCACCATACAAAACACAGCAGTATTAAACTATTTTACGCTGGTATTCTGCGAGAGCGTGGTCGACCCCGGTCGAACCGACCCATACGTGCTACATCCATAATATAGCTGCAGCTTGGCTCTACCACGTAAAGAAGGAAAACAGAAGCTAGTGGCTTGGTGTCAAGTCCCTCCGGGCGTCTACTAGGCTATCAAAAAGGCCATCAAAAGTCATCCAGTCGGAGAGGACCCCGGAGAACCTTGGCAGGTCCAGAGTTGGGTGTCGTCCCTACAGCTCCGGCTGAGTAGGCTGCTTCCGAGGGGACACGGCCAGGCCACTCAGCCGAGATTTACCCGCTTCTTTAGCATACTTGGCCCCCGCCTCGATCAAGTCGTCCGTGAGCGAAAAGAATTTCTCGTAGTCCGCGAGGCAGGAGTCTAGGACTCCCTGTTCCGCATCCGAGGCCAAAAGCTCTGTGCAAACCTCCTCCACTACTGCCCCTCGGGCATCGACCTGCTCGAGTCAGTAAGAAGACCCCTTACATAAATAAAATTTTTGCTTTACACAATCAATGCCTTTGTTTCCTTTCCTAGGGGAGTGCAACGTGTCACTGAGAGCGAACCTCGAGGGCTTGGTGAAACACACCACTGACATATCGGTGGAGAAGTTAACAAAAGCAGACAAAACACTGCTCAGTGTTCAGGTATATTTTTTTTCTTTGCATACAGACTCGTACAGTTAGTCCTTTTGCCAGTGTCAATGCAAATTATCCTTTTTAATAGTTTATTGCGAAGTTTTTTTTTTGAGAGATTTTTAAACCTCAACGTCAGTCACGATAGTATCTCAAGGCGCCAAAACTTGTAGTTTTTTTTTAACCATTATCGTCGAAGCATTTCGTTTCGTAATTTAAGTACCCGACTCTAACTTATCAAGATTCATTAAATGAAACTAATGTTATGGATTTTTTCGCGTTTAATTTTAACTTTTTAATTCTCGATTCCCGATTTTGAATTCGCTTTACGGCATCCATGTTGACGGTAGGGACTGACGTGTTTGACGTCCTGATACCATAATTAAAGAAGGCTTCCGCGTAGACCGAACCAAAGGTTAATATTTAAAAGTTAAAGTTAGACTTAAATATGTGGTAATAATGGATGCGCTACCGAAGCGTCGAGAGTTAAAAAGTTAAAATTAAACGCGATAGCGTGCATAAAATTAATTTCATTTAACATGTAGTATTTGCGTAAATATAAGTAAAAATTGTATCAATATTCACTTCACAACGTTATTTAATAATAATTATAACTTTTAACCAAAATTAGAAAACGACTTCAAACTGCTAAGAAGGAAGTTATTTGTATGATACCTTTAGGGGTGGATTTTTTCTCCAAATTTATATGAAACCAGCCTTGAATTACAGCCTATATGATAAAAGAAGAATCGTCAAAATCGGTTCACAATTAGCGAAGATATCGCGTAACATTTGTTTATTTATTTAGCTTTATTTATCCTTTACATGAATGTTATTAAGTTTAAAATGTTTTTTTTTTATAGAATAGGGGGCAAACGAGCATGCGGCTCATCTGATGGTAAGTGACTACCGCCGCCCATGAACAACCGCAACACCAGGGGAATTGCAGATGCGTTGCCGGCCTTTTAGAAAGGTGTAAGCTCTTTTCTTAAAGGTTCCTAAGTCGTATCGGTTCGGAAAATTCGTTGGTGGTAATTGATTCCACAAAGAAGTTGTGCGAGGGAGAAAACTTCTTCTAAATCGCACAGTGGTGGACCGCCAATCATCCAGATGGTATGGATGGTAACGCGAGTTTTGTCGCGACGTGCGATGGTGAAATTGAGCGGCTGGAATTAGTCCGAACAATTCCTCAGAGCACTCCCCGTGATAGATGCGATAAAATACGCAAAGAGATGCAACATCTCTACGCAGTTCCAGTGTATCGAGCCGATCGGAAAGAACTCGGTCGTCGACGATTTGAATCGCTCTGCGCTGGATGCGGTCAAGTGGAAGGAGCTGGCACTGGGGTGCCGCGGCCCAGAGATGAGAACAGTATTCCATGTGGGGCCGAACTTGCGCTTTGTAAAGTTGCAAGCGATATGCCGGCATGAAATACTGTCTTGCTCTGCTGAGCACACCAAGCTTTTTAGAGGCCAATTTGGCCTTCCCTTCCAAGTGACCACGAAACTGCACGCTATTCGATATGTCGACGCCAAGGATTCCGACACTGGCTGAGGTAGCAAGGGGAGTGCCTTGAAACTGAAGAGATACGACAAAGGGGTTCTTTTTAGCGGTAAACGCGCAAACTTGTGTCTTCTGGGGATTGAACTGGACTAGATTTAGTCGGCCCCAATCCGAGACTTTGTTAGTGCTAGCAATGAATGCTACCAGCCAACATATCATTGATATGCAGGAGAAACAGCGTTGGTGATAGCACGCAGCCTTGTGGAACACCAGCGTTCATAGGCTTGAAATCAGAGCATGCACGGTCTACTACGACCTTGATGCTACGATCAGCAAGGAAACTGGTGATCCATTTGCACAATTTCTCGGGAAGCCCATAGGAAGGAAGCTTCGAAAGAAGCGCCTTGTGCCAGACCCGATCGAAGGCCTTCGCTATGTCCAAACTAACGGCCAATGCCTCCCCCTTGGACTCGACTGCCTCCGCCCATCTATGAGTTAAGTAAACTAGAAGATCACCAGCTGATCGACCCCGACGAAAACCGTACTGACGGTCACTGATCAGCTGGTGATCCTCAAGGTACCTCATGAGCTGGCAGTTTATAATGGATTCCACAAGATCAACAAGGAGGTGATGGCGATAGGCCTGTAGTTGGACGGGTCTGAGCGGTCGCCTTTTTTAGGGATCGGGTGGACCATAGCTGTCTTCCATGAATTCGGGACTACGCTTTGGGAGTAGAGGAGTACCGGAAAAGACGCGTTAAAACCGGTGCCAACTCCGGAGCACACGTCTTAAGCACAATGGGAGGGACTCCATCGGGCCCACTCGACTTGCTGACGTGTTATAGCTAGTATCCATTGTTCTTATTATATTTGTTGGTAGTGTTAGTATGTCTTTTTTTCTTTTCTTTTTTGGTCTTTTAAAAACACTAGGATTTTCTCCTGTATCGTGGAGGCAGTTTACAAACACAAGTTGCACAAATACAAACATCCAGACCCGGAACAATTATTTGTAGGCCATACAAATACTTGTTCCGTGCGGGATTGGAACCCGCGGCACCCAGCGCAGCAACTCACTGTTAAGCCCCTGCACCACGGAGCTGTCCTTTTCTTTTTTCCTTTTTTTTTCGTCACTATATTTAATTTTGTTAGATTTGTGTCAGTTGTAAGAGCCGCCTTTTGCGGTGAAAGCCTCCTCCAGATTACTTCAAGTGGTACTGTCTTGCACTAATCTAGGCCAGTAGCTCGTACTAGTGTACCAGCTACTTCGGCGATGTCATCATTCCACCTTTTTGATGGCCCACCTAACGTCTTCTTCTTTTTTTATTTATTTATCTGACATTAAATGTTGCACAGTGGTCGTCTACAACCCCCGCAGTAACGAACCGTTCTGGGGGAGGTCATATTATGTTACTTCTGTTTTTGTTGTGTTTGTGGGCGCGACGCACTTCAGACTTTGAAGGCGCTTTCCTAGTTGCTATTCGTCTGAATTTGGATATTCAGAGGACAGAGGAAGTCCTTCTGGATTCTGACACATTAGTTGATTGATTGTTTGTTGATGAATTTCTCTACGGAACTTTGGTTATCTCCGGTTTTCTTAGCTTGTATCTTATTTTTCTTTAGTTCTTGTTGGTGTGTTTGTGGTTGTCTATTAAGATTTTCGTTTTGGTTTGGTGGTGTTATTTCTAATTCCCTATTTTTGTTTCTATTGCCCTTTTGTTCTTCTTCATGTGTTTCACTTTTCTTCTTTATTGATGGTTTACGGATTGTTAGTTTGTCGTAACGTTGATAGGCTTTTTCCCCGGCTTCTTTCTGTATTTTAAGTTGTACTAGCAATGTTTTTCTTGTATTCAGGATTTGTGGTGAAAAAATCTTCTTTAAGATAAATTACTTCTGTCTTCCTAAGTTTTTTATTTTTCAGTATTGAGTGATTTTTCGGCCGTGGGTAGTAAAAGTTACAACAATAGGTCTTACTTTGTTTTCATTGTACTTACCCATTCGACGAACCATCTCTAATTATTTTCTGTCGCGTAACAAACATAGAAAAAAAACATACAGTCGAATTGAGAACCTCCTCCTTTTTGAAGTCGGTTAAAAAGTATATTGGGCCATCAATGCATTAGTGGTCAAGATCCTACAAATACCTATGCAATGATATAAATAACTTTAATATGTTTCCGATTTTGTTGAGTTTCTCAACTCTATATACTGAGTATTCTCTATACTCTATACTGAGTGAGTATTTTAAACTCTGTTCTTATTTTTAATCATAATTTATTTTTCAGGAAAGCATGCGAGCAACTAATGCCAACCTAACACTGGCACGTGCAAGATTAAAGCAAATACATGCCGAATTAGAAAAAGCTAATTGTAGTAGTGCATTGCCAACTGTTAAAATTAAATAGTGTTGCCCACATAATCTTATTTTAATATTTAAGTTATAGTCTATTAATGTTTAAATGTCAGGTATATGGCATGGTGGTTTTTAGATAAAATTAAGAATAGATTTTTTTGTTTTGTTATTTTATTTTTGTAGTTCAGAAGAAATTTAGAGATATACAAATATGTTATATTTAACTTTTTAATTAATTTTAATTTGAAATCTTGTTACACTTTAACTTTCGGTAATTTGAAAAATGAATATTATTTTTCGAACGTCATATATTAAAAAAAGGACTGCCGACAGAAGTGAAAACTCAATGATATATTCGTATACATGTACACAGGCCGCTATGCGTAGTAGATAAGCTTGTGACGTCACGAGCATGTCGAGGTCATCGGTGACGCGAACCCATACGTTTTTCCCCTAACGAAAATCGCTCAACGCGGCTAAAGTTTGCACATATCAAGGCGGCGCGACATAAAGGCGACCGTATCTAAACGAACAGATTATACGTACACATGTTCACGTACAACACACGGCCGTGTCCACGACACACCCACACTCCCGATTGTTATTTCATTTTTTTAATACTAGCAAGCTATTCACATTTCTAATTTTCTTTGTAATAATTCCTGGTAAGCTTAAAATGCTTGGGTTAGGAGTGGTTCACGACACTAGTCGAATGGAGGATTCGAACCCACGACCTTTAGATTTCGCGGTCCGTATCCTGTTATTACTCTCGTTTCGTATCTGGGTGGCAAGACATTTTTTAAAATAAGCAGATATATTACTGTCGCGCCGTACCCAAACGACCGTGCTAGGCAACCGAGAGAGACAACTGCAGCTCGGCCTGATTATACATCATTTCGTATTTATTCAACATAGATTTATTTTTTCAAAAACAATTCCAGAACAATTTTACCTTTGTCTTTTTTAGATGTCTGATAATGGCGGTATAGCTGTGCAATTTTAGTAATTTTAGATTTCTGATTTTTACGTAATTAATTTATAAAAAAAAATAAGAACATGGTGGTGGTAAATAGGTAATACCTATTAGGATATGTAGTGGAAAAAAAATTAAAAAACTATTTACTTTACTGCCACTACCTAGGAAGACAAAAGAATACGTTTGATCTAAATGCCGGTCGAATATGCTCTTAAACTTAAAAACCACCAAAGTATGACGGTTTATTATATACCAACGTTCAAATAAAATGAATGCCATTCCAGTTTACACTGTTTTTAGAAATAAATATTTTGTACAAAAGTTAATTTGTTTTAATTGTAAACACAACCATATATATATTCCTCGACTCCTTCCACTGTCAAACGCAAAAGCAAAGCTTCGATTCTTTAATATATTTTAGCTTCCATGGCAAAGCACAGCTGGTTTTAAAAGGTTAGCGCTGCAGCTATGGCTGGCTTAACCGGGGAAGGACCACGCTCGCAAAGAATACCAGCGTAAAATGATAGCATAATGATGATTGACGGCACCGTGGCGCACCGGCAAAATCCCGTACGGAACAAGTATCTGTATACCTACTAATACGTAATTGATCCAGGACTGGATGTTTATCCTTTTGAAATTCATGTATGTAAACTGCAACCACGATACAGAATAAAATCCTAGTGTGGACGTATTAATTTTTTTTTAAATACTAAAAAACATGCCACCATACGTACTGCCGACAGAAGTGAAAACTCAATGGAATATGCGTACACATCTACACAGGCCGCTATACTACGCGTCGTAAAGACATTCAAGTAGTAGTAATAGACCAGACATCAACAACAAAATGCTCACATCTTACTTATGTCCTATAGGATATATTTCGGATTTGTGTCATTTAGTCTTAGCGACTGAACACGCATTCGTTTCCTAAATTAAAAAAAATATTTTTAAAGAAAATATGTTTGATTGTGCATTAAAGTATTGTAAGTCCCGATATATTGCAAAAACTGAATGTAATTTCGGTTTATTATCGCAAGTTTAATGTATAATTACCCCATAATTTTAATTTTTGTTATTTCTCTAGATTGTTCTAGAACATTTATCATTATTGTGATAAGCGCCCTCTGTTATCCAGTAACGTCACCAAAGAGTTAGTGATTGACAACGTTTATCGATAGGTGCTATCGATAAAAAATATTATACACGATGCAGAGTTAATCACCTACAATATTTAAGGAGGTGAAACAGTAAACGATACTGTACCCATACCAATAAAGAAATCGGGTGGGCCTATGTCCGGGGCACACGGCTGTTGATTGTAACGTGAAACGTCTATGCCAGCCAGTACAACTAATACAACCAGTGAATGAGACAGCCTAATTTTTTTTGGTGGCTGGAATTAATCCGAACAATTCCTCAGAGCACTCTCCAGAAAATTCAAAGGGATCCAACATCCCTACATAGCGCCAGTGAATCGAGCCAATCAAAGAAAACTCGATCGTCGACGATTCGAGCCGCTCTGTTCTCTATGCGGTCAAGTGGAAGGAGCTCGCACTGGGGAGCACCGGCCCAGAGATCAGAACAGTATTTCATATGTGGCCGAACCTGCGCTTGTAAAGTTGTGTGTAGGCATGAAATAGGTACTGACCCGCTCTACGGACTACGCCAAGCTTTTTAAAAGCCAATCTAGCTTTCTCTTCCAAGTGACTATGCTTCTGCAGGTTTTTCGATATGTTGACGCCGAAGATTCTGCTACTGGCTGCGACAAAAAGGGAAGTGCTCTGAAATTGGGGAGATACTACAAAGGTGTTCTTTTTAGCGGTAAACGCGCAAACTTGTGAATTTTTATAATAATTTATCGTGTAACAACTTTTAAGTTCAGTGCTATTCTAAAATACGTTAGATTTAAAGTGTATTTTTGTAAAAGAAACGAATTTAAAACATGGGGGCGCTCGCTTATTGGATTTGATGTTTCGCGATGTGCCTTCGACGCCGACCGACCTATATTTTTCTTAAATGAAATATATATTTAATCATATTATTATGGCGTCTAAAGGACCTAGTGACGACATCCAAGATCCCACCAATGAATATGACTGCTGTTTGAATTGATTCTTAGCTATTGTAAATTAAATATTTTATTTCATGACATTTCATTCATTACGTTATTCATGACTTAAAAAGTTTATATGAATTTTTCGGAGTGACGGGAGTCTTACTAAATATATTTATTTATTAAAAAAGCATGCATATTCCCTATTATTATATCGTAAAGCATTACACACTTAGTACCCTTCAACAACATATCGACACTTTGATATCGAAACGGTAACATTCCTAAAACGGGTTTTTACCTTACATTTATTAGCTTCACCTACTGGGGAACAGCTGAAATGTATTCCTAATAAATATTCAGAGTAGTTTTGCTATGTTTATCTAGAGGGCGTCACACATGCGCGAACTAAAAGTTTTTGTATGCAATAGTTCCCTATGTCCGCTCTATAGAATATCTATATATTTAAATCTCTTTGACGCGTCGCTAGTCTGCCGCAAGGGCAATACGTCACGAACATGTCGAGATCATCGGTGACGCGAAGATGTTATATTTCGTACAGTAAGAGTAGAGAACCGGAGACCCTTTTTACTAACAACTAGGCATTCCATCTCAGTTCTCAGGGGTGACAGCGATACTAAGACAAAGTGTATAGAAAAAATTTAAGCCCCGACTTCAGACGCTATTATATATAAATTATCAAGAGCGTCGCCAGCCGATAGAAGATGGGAAAGTGTAGGTACAAGAGTACATGAAGTTTTCCACTTCAATTGCGAGTCTTATCTACCTTGTACTACTATTTACTAGCTGTTCCCCGCGACTTCGCCCACGTGGAATTTTTTTTTTGCATGGAACACTAAAATAAATGTAGCCTAAGTTACTCCTTATAATATCAGCTATCTGCCAGTGACAGTCCCATCCGAATCGGTTCACAAGTATTTGCGTGATGTGTGTTCACGCCAAAATAGCTCGCAGATGACAGATTTTTTCAGACTTACTTAAAACATTTATCGTTATATTTTGGCCAATTTACACAATATTTTCATGAACTATAGCTTATATGTATGTATGAGTATATATTACTGTGAAGTTTCATTAAAATCCATTCAGTAGTTTATGCATGAAAGAGTAACAAATATCCAAACATCCTCACAAACTCTCACGTTTATAATATTAGCAGGAAATAGTGAAATAGGATTCTGTGCGTCTACGGCCATTGTAATAAGAACGGTACAAATTCCAGTGTGTCAAACTCTACAAGCTCTAAACTGTACAATAAATAAGACTGGTTGCTTTGCATTTGACTACATTCTTTTGTGTCACTAGGGGGTAGCTGACCCCCCCCCCCCATGGCCACGCCTTTGTATTATTTTATTTTTTTTAGTTCTCCGAAGTCGGCTTTTATCTTTTAATAAACCTTTAATTTTCTAGCCCTTTTTAGTGTAGTGAGGTATATCTCAAGTTCTAGGTAACAACTACAATGACGTCTAAATAGTTACCTACACTAAAAACTTTAGCCCCTATTTTCCAAACTTAAAGGTGGAATTTTTTTGCCACATGAAACAGATTGTGTACAGTACTCCAATTAGTACAAGAGAAGAATTGTTACAAAAAATAATGGCTGCGGCTAGTCAAATAAAAGAAAATAGTACTGTGTTAAAAAACACAGTACGTAGTGTGGCATTACGTGCAACTGTATGTATGGATGAAAATGGTGGTCACTTTGAAAATTTAATAAATGAAATCATTTTTCTACGGTTTTTTTTTTGTTTTATTCCATAATTTTGTCAATTAAATGATTATTAAATCACTTTTGAATTTTGTGCTCAGATTACCTACCTTATTTTTAGTGATTATCTTAACAACGAAAAGAGATAGAACGCATGTTATTTTGGAGAATTTGTACAGTAAGCTACGTAGTTTAATAAAACATGCTAAAAAGGTTATCTCAACGTACTAGTTTTGAAGTTACAGACCAAAAATTAAAAAGAAAAGTATTTTTTTAACAAAATAATTT